AGTAGCTATAAGAGGACTGAAAAGTGTTTCTGAAGATAATGTTTGGAGGTTTTCCAGGGGAGCTTATCTCTTCTCTTGAATAGGCCCCCCTCAATCACAGGGATTTGTGAATACCGTATACTGACTTGCTAAGACTTCAAATCTAGGTTTTCAGGGTGTGTTTTGGATAAAATTGCTTTACGTTAGGGCAGGAGAAATAGTCGAGTATGTAAGGTACTTTCCTTGCACACAGTCAACCAAGGGTCGATCCCTGGTATCACATATTGATGCAGGCAGGTAGGTTAGGGAAGGTCCCTCCTCAAACCACCCCCCCCCCATACACACACGGTGGCAATGAAATTTCTGAGAAGCAAAGTTCTAAGGCTGACCCTCCTTGTGGATACAGAAAGCAAGACCCGAGATTACACCTTCAGCAGCAGACCCTGAGGAGATTGGACCCCTCCCCATGAAGGAAATTCCTCCAATACTCTTGGACTTTAACTCCCTTAACTTTAGTGATTCAGCCCAGAAAAGTCTTCAAAACATTCCGGAACAAGACATCCCAAGAAGATACCCTATAAAAGCCACCTTGAACAGAGACTCTCTGTTCAAAGAATCTCCAAACAGAGCAGCTCGCTGCAGAGATGCTTCCGGAGTTTAAGCCAGGCCGACTTCACCAGGGTGCCTCAGACAGGAGCAGGTTCATGGCTCCACCTGCCACACAAGAACCCCAGTGACCACCAACTTCCAGAACCCAATGAGAAGCGCAGGTGTGCAAGTTCAGTGACGGCAAACTCCAGGCCTCAAGGGGTAGGGGATGGGCCGGTCCTTCTCATTACCTGCCCCCCCATGGGACCCTGAAGGTCATGCCCACAAACTGTCTCCAGCTGCTATTTAAGCTCCTTATAGCGATGATCCAGGGACACACAAAAGAATCTGCAAACCAAGCAGCTTGCTGGAGAGATTTCTCCAGACGCTAATCATCTAAAACTTAGAATTCCAGGAGTGCAACATGTGACATCTTATGCTATTCATAACAAGCAATACAAAAGAGAGTATGGGGGCTGGAGCAATAGCACAGCGGGTAGAGTGTTTGCCTTACAAGCAGCCGACCCGGGTTCGATTCCCAGCATCCCATATGGTCCCCCGAGCACCGCCAGGAGTAATTCTTGAGTACATGAACCAGGAGTAACCCCTGTGCATCGCTGGGTATGACCCAAAAAGCAAAAATAAATAAATAGAGAGTATGGGGGAGATTGTCTGCCAAAGAGGCAGGGGGAGGGGTGGGATGGGGGGGATACTGGGGACCTTGGTGGTGGAAGATATGCACTGGTGGAGGGCTGGGTGTTCGATCATTGTATGACTGAAACTCAAACATGAATATCACATGTCCTTCTCTCCTGGAAGGGAGCATAACATGACACTCGCCATAGCCATGCCACCAGACCCCATGCCAGGCTGTTTCACTCAGGGCACCCTAGAAGGGGGTGGGTGAGAGCCCTTTCCGCCCCAAGGGACCCATTCTTGGCACCCAAAAACCTCCAGAACTCACTGCCATCACACTCAAGGCTGCTCCCCACACACTCGGGCCAAACGTCACACACAAGTGAACATCATAAGACACGCCGTACCCATGATCCACGAGTACCGCACCACATTTAATGGGATTCAAATAGTTGGCAACCAATCATAGAGGGAAATATATATATGTACACATTATATATTTACAGATATATATATATACACGAAAGTTCATAAAGCTCAACCTTTAAAAACATGTTAGTGAGATCTTATAGAAGGCCTTAATGGCCCCCACCAAAATAGAACAATCTTCATACTCTTTCCTCTATGGATACTTTTCTGTAGCATTTTCAGTGGTTTTTCATAACAAACAATACAAAAGATATTATTTTAGTTCTGCTTTGGGACAGGGATTGGGGTTTGGGATGGAAACGTCCCAAATATGGTGGTGGGAAGGTGTAAGAGTGGGTGGGGTTGGTGTTTGAATATTAAATGTAAACAAATATTGTGAACTACCTTATACAAACAAACTGTCCTGTCATTGTTCATCGATTTGCTCAAGCGGGCCCAGTAATGTCTCCATCGTGAGACTTATTTGGCATATTGAATATGTCACGGGTAGCTTGCCAGGCTTTGCCGCACGGGTAAGATACTCTCGGTAGCTTGCCGGGCTCTCCTAGAGGGGCAGAGGAATCGAACATGGCTTGGCCGGGCTGGCCGCGTGCAAGGCAAACGCCCTACCGCTGTGCTATCTCTCCAGCCCTACCTTATAAAATTAAAAAAAAAATTTTTAAAAACCCTTAAACATGAAAGTTTTGTAACTGTATCTCACTGTATCACTGTCATCCTGTTGTTCATCGATTTCCTCGAGCAGGCACCAGTAACATCTTCTTCGCCCTAGCCCTGAGATTTTAGAAAGTGCCACATTCGAGGCTCTTGCAGGGTCAGGGGAATGAGACCCATCATTGTTACTGGTTTTTGGCATATTGAATACACCACGGGGAGTTTGCCAGACTCTGCTGTACGGGCAGGATACTTTCGGTAGCCTGCCAGGTTCTCCAGTGTAAGAACTAGATAGTAAGATGTTGTGCGGCCGTGAATGCGGCTGCGGGCTTCTGGGAGCTGGGTTTTAGAGTCTCTGGGTCTTGGCTGATGATGGAATTACACAGCACTGGGGGCAGTTGGTGGGTATAACACCTACCTACTGGAAGATGGGGGATCTGGATGGAGGAGGCCCAGTTCTGATCCCAGCAGGCTTGGAGATCTCAGCCCTGGGTTCCACATGCTTGGGTTCCACTGTCGGTTCCTTCATGCATGAGGCTCGTCTGAACATGGAGAGTGGTCTCAGTGTGGCTGTGGCTGGTTCTGGAGGTCTTCGGCTGCCGGGGTTCTGCTCAGGGTGGGGAGGGAAACTCAACGCCCCCCCCCCCACGCCCCGTGAAGACAGCCAGGCGCGGGGGCAGGAGACTCTGTATCTCATGGTGATTCAATTAAAAAAAATTTTTTTTAAAAAGCCACCTTGAACAAAGGAGGGACGCATATATGCTGCCTGAGCCCATGTGCTGTTTGAGTCCACATGGCCTGAGCACATGCGGTGCCCAAGCACATGTGTTGCCTGCATTTCCCCGTTTGAGATGTGTATTTTTATGCTTTCATGTCTAATGCTGGGGTGTGTGTAGGGGCTCTCTCCACCCTTGGAGAAGCCCCGGGTTCTCTCTTGAGCACATTACTCTTCGCTCTCTCCTTCTTTCTCTTCCTTCTTCTCTTCAAAACCTCCAAATAAAATCTGTTTCACTTCACTACTTGTCTACTCCTGAAATTTTCTGCAAGGTGAGATAAGAACCCAGAACCTTGGGTCCTGAGTGGCAGAGGCAGAGGATGGGGAAAAAGTGACTGTCTTTCTCCTCCCTGCTTCAAATGAGCCACCCGTGGGGCCCACCACATCAATATGGCCCCCTGAGCCCACCAGGAGTGATTCCTGAATACAGAGCCAGGAGTAACCCCTAAGCACCACTGGGTGTGGCCCCCAAACAAAACAAAGCTTGAGTTTTGAACTTGGCTTGCTGTGATAAATTATTGCAGTGTTAAATATTACAACTTTTGATCAATATAAACATGTGCAGAGTAGTGCCAGACAGACTCCATGCTATTGTATGCTTATCATTATGATTATACAGAAGACTGTCAGGTTACTGACCCCAGAGTGAGGACAATGGTATTTAAACTGGTTTCACCTAAATTAAAAATTGACTTTTTAAATTAAAAATTAATTAAAATTAAATTAAAATTTTAAAATTTTAAATTTTAAAATTTTAAGCAAGCTCTTCTGTAAAGGGACAGCTGCTGGTATCTTGTCTTCTCCCTTGATAAGGCAAAATGTGCCTCAGGGGACCAGTCTCTGAGGCAATTCATTGAGCACTGTGGTGCCCTGCAGTCTGAAAATCACCCTTTCTGAAAAGGTGTTTCCCAGGCCCTGAGAGATAGTACAGCAGATAAAGGCACTTGTCTTGAACACAGTCAACAGGGTTTAATCCCAAGCACCCCACACAGTCCCTCAAACATCATTAGCAGTGATCCCTGAGCTCAGAGCCAGGAGGAAGTCCCGAGCACATCCAGATGTGGCCCCAAACAAAAAATAACCCCCCCCCCAAAAAAGTGCTTCTCTATTTTTTTCTCTATAAAAACTGCTATTTGTAGCATATAGACAATATTTTTTTTTTTGCTTTTTTTTTTTTTGCTTTTTGGGTGACACCCGCCTGATGCACACGCCTGGCTTTGCACTCAGGAATTACTCCTGGTGGTGCTTCGGGGACCATATGGAATGCTGGGAATCAAACCCGGGTGGCCGCATGCAAGGCAAACACTCTACCCACTGTACTACCGCTCTGGCCCCCCAACCTTTGCTAAACTATTGACAAAGACAATCCAATCTCTAAGGCAATTATTATTATTATTATTATTTTGCTTTCTTGGCCAACAAAATAGCCCCCATCCGCGTCCCGTAAGTGCCTGCCTTCCCGCTGACTGCTGAGCAAGTCTGGGCGGTGACCATCCCGGGTCCTAGACTTAATTAAACCTGCTTTGGGCCCAACGCACCCCGAGCGGCCACTCCCTCTCGGCTCAGGAAGCCTATAAATAGGTGCCTCTTTCTCCGCCTCCGCCGGGCCGGGCCGGTGGGCGGGGCCCGGGGCGTAGGGGGCGTTTCGGGGCGCGGCTTCGGGGCCGCTGTTCTGCACCCGGGTGCTGATCCGCCTGCAGGCGCCGGGGGCCGCGCGGGGCAGCCGGGTGGCGGGGACGCGCCGGCGATGCCCGCAGCCGCTCCCGCCGCTGCCCGGGCCGCGCGCATCCCCCGGGAGGCCGCGCTCTGAGGACCCTCCTGGGACCCCCACCCCACCCCACCCCACCCTGGGCGCCTGCTCGGAGCTCGGCGGCCGCTCGCGATGACCCGCGCGGGCTCGGGGCTCGGGCGGCCCCGGGAGCTGATGCTGCTGATGCGGCTGATGCCGCTGATGCTGATGCTGGGCCTGTGGCTGCCCAGCGTCCGCGCGGCCGCCCCGCCGCCGTCCGAGCCGCGCGCCGCGCTGCCGGGCGTGGAGCAGCTGCTCGAGGAGTTCGGGCGGCAGCTGCGGCAGGACGAGCCGGAGCCGGAGCCGGAGTCGCAGCCGGAACCGGAGCCGCAGGGAGGCTGCCCCGGCCCGCGCGGCGAAAGCCGCGGCGGCTACAGCGTCCTGCACGACACCATCATCCGCACCCGGGACTCCCTGGCGGCGGGCGCCAGCTTCCTGCGCGCGCCGGCGGCCGTGCGCGACGGGGCCGAGTGCGTGGCCGCCTGCTGCGCCGAGCCGCGCTGCTCCGTGGCCGTGGTGGAGCGGCCCGCGCGGCCCCTGCCCGCCGCCGGCGCGCTCGGCTGCTACCTGTTCAACTGCACCGCGCGCGGCCGCAGCGTCTGCAGGTTCGCCGCGCACCGCGGCTACAGCAGCTACAGCCTCCGCCGGGCCCCGCGCGGCCGACCCGCGCCCCCGCCGGGTAAGCGCGCCCCGCTCCCCACCCTCATCCCCACCTCGGAGCGCACCCTCGGGCCCCCTCGGGCTCCGCGGCGTCTAGGAGCCGCGCCCGGCTAGGCCCCGAGACCGCGGGGCCTTCCTGGGCCACGGGAGCTGGAAAAGCAGGGGAAAAATAAAGAAAGAAAGAAATAACCGGAAAAGTCCCCTCCCCCACCCCGCTTCTCGGTTATCCTTAGTTTCCGCCTTTGGAAAGAGCGGCTCGGAAATTAGACAGGAAATTCGGCTTAAGGAGGATTTTCCGGGGAAGGGTGACTGCAGCGATAGCACAGCGGGGAGGGCGTTTGCCTTGCCGCGGCAGAGCCGGGTTCGATTCCCAGCATCCCATATGGTCCCCTGAGCCACCGCCAGGAGTAATTTCTGAATGTAGAGCCTGGAGTAACCAGGTGTGACCCAAAAAGCAAAAAAATAAATAAAAATAAAGGAGGGTTTCCGGGGCTGCAGCGATAGCGATAGCGATAGCACAGCGGGGAGGACGTTTGCCTCGCACGCGGCCGACCCGGGTTCGATTCCCAGCATCCTATAGGATGCTCCCGAGCACCCCCAGGAGTCATTCATGAGTGCAAAGCCAGAAGAAACCCCTGTGCATCGCCGGGTGTGACCCAAAAAGAAATAAAAAGGGGGGATGGTTTCCGGGAAGTGCGGAAAGGGTGGGCAGGAGCGGTCCCCCGCGCAAGCCTGCTGCTTCTGGAGGTTTTCTAGGCTTGGGGTGATCGAATAGGCCCGCAGGCATAGCTCAGAGGGCCGGGGTGCAGAGTTTGCAGGCGGGAGCACTCTGGTCTCCTGAGCACCGCGGGGAGGAGAGACACCGCTCCCCTCCCTCCCCCACCCCCAGCACCTCGCAGGAAATAACACCCAGAACTTAGCTCCTGGTGTGCCCTGTCTCCTTTAAAAAAAAAAATCTACTCTCGGAAACTAGATTTAAATAAGGGGAAAGCCCTGAGAAAAGAAGCAGCTTTGTTTTGGTTTCAGAGGTTTGTTTGAAAGCGTGGTCGTTGGGCCCAGTGATTGCGGAAGTCAAGTCCGGTTACAGCTTGCTTGTCTCACGCCTTGGCTCTTGTGACATCTGTTTTATTCATCGGAGGAAATTTCGGGGAGAGGTCAAGGGGAGTGGCTATGTTTTAATTAGATCTGTGTCCCATTCACTACCAGTTCCCTTTTATAAAAATGAGAAATCAGAGCGCGATTTCAATGAAAAATGAAGTTTTACAAGTATCTCTTGGGGAAAAAAAAGATGTGTGAGAAGACACAAAATGAAGCTTTAGAAGTATCTTTTAAAAAAAATAAAAGACGAGTTAGAATACAGGACTTGATTTAAAAGTATCTCTCTTTCATTAAATGATGCTTTTTCTATGGCCAGAACCATAGTACTACAGGTAGGGCATTTTCCTTGCACTCTGCTAACCTGGGTTTGATCTCCCGCATCCGATATAGTTCCCAGAATACAGGAGTAATTCAACAGTGCAGAGCCCGAGTAACCACTGGGCACCACCAGGTGTGGGGCAAAAACGGGAACAAAAAGGTGCTTTCCCATTTAATGCTTTCACTTCACTTTCTTCAAAAGTACTCAAAACAGAAGTGGAGCAGTTGAGATTAAGGTCACTTGGGTCCCCTTCTTGCTGACTCACTGTCTGTTATACTGCAAGATTTTTGTTTTTGTTTTTTTTTGTTTTTTTGTTTTGGGGTCATACCCGGGGATGCTCAGGGATTGCTTCTGGCTCTGCACTCAGGAATTACTCCTGGCGGTGCTTGGGGGACCATATGGGATGCTGGGAATCGAACCTGGGTCGGCTGCGTGCAAGGCAAATGCATTTACCCAAATGACTCTCAGAATGTGGATGAACAACACGACTAAAAAGAGCAACCCTGATGAACATGTGTGCAAGCACCACAACTAAAGGAGGTACCCGATGCGGAACCCCCAGCAAGAACCCCTGTGGGTAATTCCTGGCTATGGCAAGAACCATGACTGAAAGGGGGGAAATACAGTTTTGTTTTGGGGTTTTGTTTTTGGTGTGTGTATGTGTGTGTGTGTGTGTGTGTGTGTGTGTGCTTGTGTGTGTTGTTTGGTTTGGTTTGTGGGGCCACACCTGGTGATCCTCAGGTGTTTCTCATGGTTCTGTGGTCAGGGATTATTCCTGGCAGTGTTCTGGGGCCATATGGGATGCCGGAGATCGAACCTGGGACAGATGCATGCAAGGGAAATGCCTTACCTGCTGTACAATCACTCTGACCCGAGAATACTTTTTTTAAAAAATAATAGTAATTTGGGCTGTAGCGATAGCACAGCGGGTAGGGCGTTCGCCTTACAAGCGGCCAACATGGCCGACCCGAGTTCGATTCCTCCACCACTCTCGGAGAGCCCGGCAAGCTACCGAGAGTATTCGATATGCCAGACACAGTAACAACAAAGTCTCCAATGGAGACGTTACTGGGCCCGCTCGAGCAAATCGACGATCAACGGGAGGGCCTTTACCTTTTACCTTAATAGTAATTTGGAGGCTGAGCTGGGCCAAACCTGGTGGTTCTCGGAGGCTAGCTCCGGCTGTGCTCAGGAGTGACCCCTGGTGGTGCTCAGGGAACTATGCAGTATCAGGAATTGAACCAGGTTTGATGGCGTACAAGGCAAGTTAGTCCCATAAGTAACTTTTAAGAGACAGTGTGTGTGTGGAGAGAGAGGGGGGGGGGGGGAGGAATGTGCTGTAACAAAGCTATTAGAGTCAGAAGTTCTGTTGCAGTGAATAAAAAGATCAGGAAGAAATAAGTGAGCAATCAGGTGAATTGGAACAGCATAGAATTCCGGATTTCCAGTGGAACTGGCCTTCATGTTTGTGGTCAGTGCTTCCTGAGTTTGGTGCTGAGTGCTGACTGCTGCCATTCTGTCTATCTTAGTGTCAACTCACTCTGTCCCCCAGCACCCAGAGTGCTATCTCTGAATAATCCCAAGTATACTAGACGTCTAGGTGAGAGGAAGTGTTCTGCCCAAGGCCTCACAGCACATGCCTGGTGGAGCTGTGTCGGTGTGTGGGACGGGGCGGGGTATAAAATTATGTGCGTGGTGGAGCTGTGTTAGAGGGTTGCGGAATATGGGACTGTGTATGGAGCTGTGGTCGGTGAATTGTGGAGCTGTGTTTTGTGAGCTGCGGGACGGCAGCTGTCCAGTTAGGGAGAGCTGAGAGGGAGAAGTTTGGGTGCTTTCTCCAGCAGCCCCGGGGCCCCCAGAAGCAGAGAAGGGGACAGTTGGTTGTCCCAGGGTGAGACTTTCTAGGGTAGAGGAGAGTGCAGGATGGAAGGGAGGGTGCTGGAGAAAGTGAGTGGAAATGAAAGTCCTGCAGTGCCCGGGGGTTGAGAAGTGGCTTCCCCTCTAGGCAGCCCCAGTTCAGTACCTGGCCTCTGATGTTCCCATTTCCCAGCCTCTCATGCAGCATCTGTGTCCACCCAAGGACTCCAGAGACTCTTCTTTATTCGCTAAGGCAGGGCCTCACAAGCATGTGTTGTAAGTCACATTGGTTAACTGTTATTTTCTAAAATGTTTTCTTGAGGTGGAGGTTGGTCTGTTGGCACTTCCGTGATAGGCCTGGTGTGGTAACATTATACCCGCCCCCCCCCCCCCCAGACACATGAGCCTTGAAAATCAGCAGCACTGGATTACTCAGTTGAAAAGTAAAATTAGTCACCTTGATATTATTCATCAATGTTGTAGCTCTATTTTGTCCATACAGACCGTACTGCATGCTGCATTTGCAAAAGAAGTCAGTGTTTCCATAGTACTAACTATAAGGTTGCCACAGTTTCTGATGAAAATTCAAAATGTATATTTTTTGTTCATTAACGAGTCAGTGTGTGTAGTGAACACTTCGTTGAAAATGTACTTTGGTGGGCAGAGCAGTAGGACAGTGGGAAGGGTGTTTGCCATGTACACAACCAATCCAAGTTTGGATCCCAGCGTTCTATATAGTTCCCCAAGCACCACCAGGATAGATCCCTGAATGCAGAGCGAGGGGTAAGCTAGTTGTGGTCCACAGAGAGAAATGAAGGAGGGAAGGGAAGGGAAGGGAAGGGAAGGGAAGGGAAGGGAAGGGAAGGGCAGAAGGAAGGAAGGAAGGATGGAAGGAAGGAAGGAAGGAAGGAATTTTGTAATATATCCATTCAAATCATCTGTTCATAAAGTAATACATCAGCTTCATTACCGGACTCATAATTGATTTATCTTAAAAGATTATGTCTAGCTGAATGCAAATATTTTCAAAGGCTATTTACATCAGAATTACTGCCAATAAAATGTAAGTACTTTGATTCCTCTATTTTTATCCCTGGAAAAAATGAAAACAAGTATCTCAGTGTTCGTTTTAGGCTGAGATACCCCGCTAGTGTATTTGCCATGTTTGTCGCAGTGACTTTATCTCATGACTTTCTTTGAGATAAATGAAATCCAGATGTAACTATCAATCATAGAAATACCCACCAGACATCTTCTTATACTTTCACTTAAAACTCCTGTGCCAGAGAGTCATTAATTTGCTTTTAAGAAGGGGGGGAGAGTACAGCAGCCTTTACCCACACAGCTCTGAGGCGGTTGCTCAGTTAATCTCCTTTCACGCCCTTTGGTCACTGAGGTGACAGAGGATTGCGATGTTAACTTAGCAACCTCAGTGAAAATACAGTCAAATCAGAGCTTGATTTTTCCCATTTTTATTGCGATGATTTACAATACTGAATATGCTATTTCATACATACCTCATTCCAGTACCACACCCACCACCAGAGATGCCAACATCAGCTCTGCGTGGTATTCAGAAATAGTCTACTTTGCTGGGTAAGGAAGTAGCCCCATGTAAGGTCGATGGTCCACGGGCCTCTTTCAGTTCTGAAATTATGTCTCAGCCATCTGTGAAGGTTTTTTCCAAGAACAGCACATGGATTGGTTCCTTTAAAAGACTCTCCAAGGTCTAGGGAGGTTGCTCA